ATGGGCGGGGCAGAGGGGAGCCCTGGCAGGGAGAGCAGCAGGTGGGATCCTGGGCATGGGACAGCAGCCGGGACTCTGGGCAGGTGGGAGAGTAGCTGGAATCCCAGGCATGGGGTTGACAGCTGGGACCCCTCGCAGGTGGTGCTGCAGCTGTATCTCCCCCACACTCTTAGTCCCCGTCCCCAAGCCTGTGCACAGCGTTCCGGACCCTCCTCCAGAGCTACCGGCTGGCAGGGCCCGGTTTGCAAAGGGCCTGGAGGCTGAGCTGAGGCCATGCACCAGGAAGGGGGAGCCAGGTCTCCACTCCTGCCTGCCAGGCTGCTCCCATCTGTGCTGGGGAAGGCTGGCTGGGGTGATGGGCCGCCGTCAATGGCCCAGTGGCGCTCCTGGCATCGGAGCCACGCAGAAGGGACTGAGGGCCCCTCGCTGCCTTGTTGGGGGTCCCCCTCCCCGGCGATGCAGGGCAAGCCCTGAGCCCGTGCCCGGCCGTGCTGATCACTCACCCTGGGCTGGTCTCAGGCGTCTCAGGCACCGAGCCCTGGAACTTCACCCACGTGGGCGGCCAGAGGCCTTCTGGGAAAGCCATGCTGTACGGGATGGTCTGAGAGAGACAGAAAGTGAGGGGGCAGGGCTCGGGGCACTGACCCACAGACAGGCAGCTCCCTGCCACTGGCTTTCTGCTGGGAGACCCTCTCCTAGCTCCTCGCTGGGCTGCACAGCCATCCCTGGCTGCACACGTCCCCTGCTTCTCTCTGCCTTCCAGGGAGGGGCCCCAGGCTGCTCTGTGGACCTGCCCATCTCCCAAGTGTCCCCCTGACACGGCCTCGCAGTGACTCTCGCTCAGCCGCCTGCAAGGACCCTGGCAGAGACGTCCCGACCCCCAGCGGCTCCGCCCGCCCCCCACGTGGCCCAGAGCCAAATCCAGGGGCTCACTTTATCCCACTGCAGCCTTTCAGATGGGAGCGACCCCTTGGGTTGAACCAAAGGAGCCTGCATTTGGGGTGGTCTGGTCATTTTTGGGAGGTGTGGGAGCATGGGGGGCGGGTTTGGGTGAACGTGTGTGTGTGTGTGTGTGTGTTTGAGTGAGGGAGAAGACTGGGTGTGTTTCTGCATAGGGTGTGTATGTTTGCCTCTGGAGACGAGAAGGGGCGGGGGTTTCTGTGCCAATCGCTCCGTGTTTGTCTGTACTCCTGTGGGTATGCAGGGGAGGGGTCTGTGTGTGGCAGGGAGAGGACTGCGTGTGTTTCTGTGTAGGGTCGGTACCTGTGCCTCTGGGGATTGGAGAGGGTGGGGCTTTCTGAACACGCTGCCTGTCTGCGGCTGAGCATGGCTCCATACACGGCCACCTCCCTTCCCATTACCCCTCCGGCCCTGGGCCCTCCTGCACCCACTGCTGAGCATGGCTCCATACACGGCCACCTCCCTTCCCATTACCCCTCCGGCCCTGGGCCCTCCTGCACCCACTGCTGAGCATGGCTCCATACACGGCCACCTCCCTTCCCATTACCCCTCCGGCCCTGGGCCCTCCTGCACCCACTGCTGAGCATGGCTCCATACACGGCCACCTCCCTTCCCATTACCCCTCCGGCCCTGGGCCCTCCTGCACCCACTGCTGAGCATGGCTCCATACACGGCCACCTCCCTTCCCATTACCCCTCCGGCCCTGGGCCCTCCTGCACCCACTGCTGAGCATGGCTCCATACACGGCCACCTCCCTTCCCATTACCCCTCCGGCCCTGGGCCCTCCTGCACCCACTGCTGAGCATGGCTCCATACACGGCCACCTCCCTTCCCATTACCCCTCCGGCCCTGGGCCCTCCTGCACCCACTGCTGAGCATGGCTCCATACACGGCCACCTCCCTTCCCATTACCCCTCCGGCCCTGGGCCCTCCTGCACCCACTGCTGAGCATGGCTCCATACACGGCCACCTCCCTTCCCATTACCCCTCCGGCCCTGGGCCCTCCTGCACCCACTGCTGAGCATGGCTCCATACACGGCCACCTCCCTTCCCATTACCCCTCCGGCCCTGGGCCCTCCTGCACCCACTGCTGAGCATGGCTCCATACACGGCCACCTCCCTTCCCATTACCCCTCCGGCCCTGGGCCCTCCTGCACCCACTGCTGAGCATGGCTCCATACACGGCCACCTCCCTTCCCATTACCCCTCCGGCCCTGGGCCCTCCTGCACCCACTGCTGAGCATGGCTCCATACACGGCCACCTCCCTTCCCATTACCCCTCCGGCCCTGGGCCCTCCTGCACCCACTGCTGAGCATGGCTCCATACACGGCCACCTCCCTTCCCATTACCCCTCCGGCCCTGGGCCCTCCTGCACCCACTGCTGAGCATGGCTCCATACACGGCCACCTCCCTTCCCATTACCCCTCCGGCCCTGGGCCCTCCTGCACCCACTGCTGAGCATGGCTCCATACACGGCCACCTCCCTTCCCATTACCCCTCCGGCCCTGGGCCCTCCTGCACCCACTGCTGAGCATGGCTCCATACACGGCCACCTCCCTTCCCATTACCCCTCCGGCCCTGGGCCCTCCTGCACCCACTGCTGAGCATGGCTCCATACACGGCCACCTCCCTTCCCATTACCCCTCCGGCCCTGGGCCCTCCTGCACCCACTGCTGAGCATGGCTCCATACACGGCCACCTCCCTTCCCATTACCCCTCCGGCCCTGGGCCCTCCTGCACCCACTGCTGAGCATGGCTCCATACACGGCCACCTCCCTTCCCATTACCCCTCCGGCCCTGGGCCCTCCTGCACCCACTGCTGAGCATGGCTCCATACACGGCCACCTCCCTTCCCATTACCCCTCCGGCCCTGGGCCCTCCTGCACCCACTGCTGAGCATGGCTCCATACACGGCCACCTCCCTTCCCATTACCCCTCCGGCCCTGGGCCCTCCTGCACCCACTGCTGAGCATGGCTCCATACACGGCCACCTCCCTTCCCATTACCCCTCCGGCCCTGGGCCCTCCTGCACCCACTGCTGAGCATGGCTCCATACACGGCCACCTCCCTTCCCATTACCCCTCCGGCCCTGGGCCCTCCTGCACCCACTGCTGAGCATGGCTCCATACACGGCCACCTCCCTTCCCATTACCCCTCCGGCCCTGGGCCCTCCTGCACCCACTGCTGAGCATGGCTCCATACACGGCCACCTCCCTTCCCATTACCCCTCCGGCCCTGGGCCCTCCTGCACCCACTGCTGAGCATGGCTCCATACACGGCCACCTCCCTTCCCATTACCCCTCCGGCCCTGGGCCCTCCTGCACCCACTGCTGAGCATGGCTCCATACACGGCCACCTCCCTTCCCATTACCCCTCCGGCCCTGGGCCCTCCTGCACCCACTGCTGAGCATGGCTCCATACACGGCCACCTCCCTTCCCATTACCCCTCCGGCCCTGGGCCCTCCTGCACCCACTGCTGAGCATGGCTCCATACACGGCCACCTCCCTTCCCATTACCCCTCCGGCCCTGGGCCCTCCTGCACCCACTGCTGAGCATGGCTCCATACACGGCCACCTCCCTTCCCATTACCCCTCCGGCCCTGGGCCCTCCTGCACCCACTGCTGAGCATGGCTCCATACACGGCCACCTCCCTTCCCATTACCCCTCCGGCCCTGGGCCCTCCTGCACCCACTGCTGAGCATGGCTCCATACACGGCCACCTCCCTTCCCATTACCCCTCCGGCCCTGGGCCCTCCTGCACCCACTGCTGAGCATGGCTCCATACACGGCCACCTCCCTTCCCATTACCCCTCCGGCCCTGGGCCCTCCTGCACCCACTGCTGAGCATGGCTCCATACACGGCCACCTCCCTTCCCATTACCCCTCCGGCCCTGGGCCCTCCTGCACCCACTGCTGAGCATGGCTCCATACACGGCCACCTCCCTTCCCATTACCCCCTCCGGCCCTGAGCCCTCCTGTACCCACTGCTGCCCCTGCCCCTCCCTGGACATGGCACAGAGCTGCCCTGGGATGCCCCATTTCCCCCCCATCACTCCTGGCCATGTCTTGCCTTTGCTTGGCTGTCCATCTCAGGCATGGGCAGCTGCTGAAGCAGGAGAGCTAAGGAGGAGCCAGCAACTCACCAGCTTGTCTGGAATCAGAGCCATGGCTGCTGTTACCATCCACCCTAGGCAGGTCAGGAGTTGCTGGGGATGGAAAGCCCAAGGCAGAGGCAGCACCTGATGTACGGTGCTGGGCTGGCCCCTGCAAGGCGGGGCTGGTGCTGGGCTGGGCTTGTCTTGCAGCATGTTCTGCCCTGGGATTGCATCAGAGCTCTCCGTATCAGTGTGGCCAACAATGTGGCAATGCCTGTGACTGGGCTCGGATCTACCTGACCACTCCAGAGAGATCTGGGAGTCATTGTGAAGAGCTCTCTGAAAACATCCTCGCAGTTTGCAGCAGCAGGCAAAAAAGCAAACAGACTGTTAGGAATCATTAAAAAAGGGATAGAGAATAAGACAGAAAATATCTTACTGCCTCTATATAAATCCATGGTACACCCACATCTGGAACACTGTGTACAGATGTGGTTGCCTCATCCCAAAAAAGATATACTGGGATGGGGAAAAGTTCAGAAAAGGGCAACAAAAATGATGAGGGGTTTGGAACAGGTGCCATATGAAGAGAGATTAAAAAGACTGGGACTTTTCAGCCTAGAAAAGATGAGTCAAAAGGGGGGTATGATAGAGTTTTATAAAATCATAACTGATGTGGAGAAAGTGAATAAGGAAAAGTTATTTACTTGTTCCCATAACATAAGAACTAGGGGCCACCAACTGAAATTAATAGGTAGCAGGATTAAAACAAACAAGAGGAAGTATTTCTTCACACAGTACACAGTCAACCTGTGGAACTCCTTGCCAGAGGATATTGTGAATGACAGGACTTTAACAGGGTTCACAAAAGAACTAGATACATTCATGGAGGTTCGGTCCATCAATGGCGATTAGCCTCTGTTTGTCAGAGGCTGGGAATGGGTAACACTTGATGATTCCATGTTTTGTTCACTCCCACTGGGGCATCTGGCCTTGGCCACTGTTGGAAGACAGGATACGGGTCTCTTGGTCTGACAGTTCTTATAATCATGTGTCATAGCCCCTGCACTGTGGACAGAGGATTTTACAGGGCAATTTGCATAATGTGCATGTGTTTTTGCTAAACATCAGGTTTAGCCTGTCTCTGTGTTGCAAAAATGAGAAGTATTTCAATCTGGAAAGGAAGGAAATGTTGCAATTTCCTGTGCTTGGCCTTCC